ATGCGTGTGAGTCAGGCCTGTGTCCCACCACGCCTTCCATCTGCCCTCCCTAGAGAGTAGGGTAGCAGCATGGCAAATAGATTTTAGCCAGTTCCAAGTTCCCAATAGAAGCCTCACTTACCTCCTTTCTTGAATTTCCCACTGAACTCCAGTCAAAATTGATGTCCCTGACCTGGCGAGCCTGGCTGACTAGGCTTCAGGCCTCTGCTGGGCTGACCGGGCAAGAAGGCTCGTTCCTGCTCCGTGTCCATGAGGCCTGTGAACAGAGGCGACTACTGGGCTCCGGAGGGCCTGTCACATAGGCTCCATCCGAGACCTAAAGGGACACAGTGGGCAGAGGCGAGAGGAGCCAACAAGTCGAATTTAAAATCTTGGACCTTAAGTGGCAGCTTATTAAAAAAGACTTAGGTTACTAAAGAGCTCAAAGTGGCAAATTAGACATAAACACAAACCTGCATTGATCTTAAAGCAGTGAGATAATGTGAGAAGCAGAAGGGACTCCATGGTGCAGTCTCACCAGAGGAAGTAGGGAGTTCACATTGCAACACCTGAGGCTGGGTTCCTGGGACCTAGGCCAGGGGGCTCTTAGGAGGCCTGGGAGGTGTGAGGAGGCAAACCTGGGTGAGTTTGAGGAACAAAGGCCTGATCCCATGGGAACTTGGGCATGAATTGCACCAGGCCAGCTTCTTGCTCAGAGGTAAAGAGCTGATCCATTAAGTCCTGCAACAGTTGGTCAATCAATGGCTTAGAGTCTTCCATACAAACTCCCCTAGGGGTAACACTGGCTCACACTGGCCAAGACAATCCTTTTGAGGCAGGGGCAAATATGTCCCCTGGACAACAGGGGGACAGATGTGCAGCCTGGGGCAGGTGTCTGATGGGCCACCAGCATTAGCCACGCCTTGGGAGTCTTGCTTGATTGTTGATGAAGGCCACTGTGCAGAAGTTGCCTGGCCAGGCTGAGGTCCCCAGCGGTTGCACAGAGAGCCTTCTGAGAGAATCCAGAAGAGAAAAAAAAGACCCTGTCTGAGTTGAACCAAAATACTGCTTAGAAAATAACACCAAGGTTCACCTTGCTCTCCCCAAGGGCAAAAGGAAGCAAATTCCACCTTGACTTGATGTAAATTCAGGGTGGAACTCTCCACCTTGATTTGATATGGATTCAGGTGGGACTATCCCTGCAATCTCCAGTTACTCTGACTGAGCTGAGTCCCTGTGGCTCAAACTATGTCATTTTTTTTCAAATGATTTTTCATATTTACTTTTTAAAAATTTGTTCTAATTAGTTATTCATGACGGTAGAATGCAGTTTGACACATCATACATAAATGGAGCATAACTTCTCATTCCTCTGGTTGCACATGATGTACAATCACATCAGTTATGTAGTCATATATGTATATGGGTAATAATGTCTGATTCATTCTACTCTCCTTCTTACCCCATATCCCCTCCCCTCCCTTTACTCCCCTCTACCTAATCCAAAATAACTCTATTCTTCCCTACCCCCACCCTCTTTATTGTGAGTTAGCATCCGCCTATCAAGAAAACATTCGTTCTTTGGGTTTTTGAGATTGGCTTATTTCACTTAACAGGCAAATGCCATTATTTCATTCTTCTTTAAGGCCAAGTAATATCCTATTGTGTATACATACCACATTTTCTTTATCCATTCATCTATTGAAGGACACCTAGTTTGGTTCCATAGTTTAGCTATTGTGGGTTGAGCTGCTATATACATTGATGTGGCTGTGTCACTGCAGTATGCTGATTTTTAAGTCCTTTGGGTATAAACCAAGGAGTGAGATAATTGGGTCAAATAGTGGCTCCATTCCAAGTTATTTTCTGAGGCATCTCCATACTGCTTTCCATAGTGGTTGCACCAATTTGCAGTCCCACCAGCAATATCTGAGTTTACCTTTTCCCCCACATCCTCGCCTACATTTGTGGTTGCTTGTATTCTTGATAATTGCCATTATGACTGGAGTGAGATGAAATCTTAGAGCAGTTTTAATTTGCATTTCTCTAATAGCTAGAGAGGTTTAACATTTTTTTCATATATTTGTTGATCTATTGTGTTTCTTCTTCTGTGAACATTTCAGTTCCTTTGCCCATTTATTGACTGGATTATTTGTTTTTTGGGGGGTGTTAAGTTTTTTGAGTTCTTTACATATTCTGGAGATTCATGCTCTATCTGAGGTGCAGGTGGTAAAGGTTTTTCTCCCGTTCTGTAGCCTCTCTCTTCACGTTATTGATTATTTCCTTTGCTGAGAAGGAGCTTCTTAGTTTCGCGTTCCTATACATCAGTGATGATTTAGGAAAATTAGAAAACTCTACCATTCACAATAACCTCAAAAAATAAAATAAAATAAAATAAAATACTTGGGAATCAATCTAACAAAAGAGGTGAAAGACCTCTACAATGAAAACTACAGAATACTAAAGAAAGAAATCAATAAAGACCTCAGAAGATGAAAAGATCTCCCTTGTTCTTGGATAGGTAGAATTAATATTGTCAAAATGGCCATAGTAGCAAAAGCACAATACAGATTTAATGAAATTCCTATTAAAATCCCAGTAACATTTCTTATAGAAATTGAAAAAGCAATCATGAAATTAATTTGGAAAAACAAGAGACCCAGAGTAGCCACAGCAATCCTTAGTGAGAAAAGTGAAGCAGGAGGCATCACAACACCAGACCTTAAATTACACTACACAGCCACAGTAACAAAAACAGCATGGTATTGGCACAAAGACAGACATGTAGACCAATGGTACAGTGTGTAAGACATAGACACAAACCCACATAAATACAGTCATTTCATTCTAGAAAAAGGTGCTAAGGGGCTGGGGTTATGGCTCAGGGGTAGAGCTCTTGCCTCACGTGCATTAGGCACTGGAATTGATCCTCATCACCACATAAAAATAAATAAATAAAGATATTGTGTTCATCTACAACTAAAAAAATATTTAAAAAGAAAAGAAAAGAAAGGAAAGAAAAAGTGCCAAAAACACTCACTGGAGAAAATATAGCCTATTCAACAAACAGTGTTGGGAAAATTGGAAATCCATATGTAATAAAATGAAATTCAACCTCTATCTCTCACCCTGCATAAAACTCAATTCAAAGTGGATCAAAGACTCAGGCACCAGAACAGACATCCTACACTTAATAGAAGAAAAAATAGGTCCAAATCTTCACCATGTTGGCCTAGGATCTGACTTTCTTAACAAGACTCCTAAAGTGCAGGAAGTAAAATCAAGAATCAACAAATGGGGTCATCATTATACAAAATACACATATGAAGACTTGAATTTGGTTGTCAACATGCCTTATATACAAACAGAGATATGAAACATTATGGTATATATGTGTATTAAGAATTGTAATGCAAAAAAAAAGAGTACATGTATAATGGTATAATTTGGCGTGAACATACTTTATATACAGAGTTATGAAAAATTGTGCTGTATATGTGTAATAAGGAGTATAATGCATTCCACTATTGTCATGTAATAATAATAATAAAAAAAGAATCAACAAATGGGATAGATTCAAACCAAACTGTGTCATTCTTTAATACCCGCAGGAATGTGGCAGTCACCTGCTGACTCAGGCAAAGGTGACTTACAGCACTGAATTCTCTGCACATGACTCACCTCCCTTTCTCCGTTTGTCTCTGCACCACTTTGAAATCACTCTTTACTCATCCCTGCCGAAACCCCAGTTGGATTAGGCTTTGTGATTAACCTCTCCTCCCAATCTGGCTCAGAGAGATCTTTCTGGAACCTGTGGTCTTGACCAGCAGGGAAGCCTGCTTCAAAGAAGGAGCTAAATGCCCTGGGTAGTAACAGTTCCTGCCCCAGGAAGGGAAGACAAGCTTGTCCCATAGAAACCATGCAAGTCTGGACACAAAGCCTCTCTCTCATTGTTGCTGCCAGGAAAAGCCAACACACAAGACACATTCTGCATATCTTATTTAACATTCTACAGGCAGCCCTGGGGATCAGGAGACTGTGGCCACATCCAGGCAGCAGCTCAGATAAACAAAGGCAAGTGGCCATGCAGGTTTCCTCACCTTCTCCCTAGCAGGTTCTGAGAACCATGGGAGTCTAATTCTTGTGAACTGAGACTTGTAAACAAAGTGGGTTCTTGTATTTGACCAGGGAGCTCGAAGCAGTACACAGATCTTTCAAAAGAGCTTAGTGCACATGGCAGATACTCTTCTCAGTTCCTTTGCCTGCAAGATGGGGTGCTTGACTAGATGGTATGTTATAGGGTTGCACATTGCTTTAAGTAGATTATTGTGAGCCTGTATCCTAATAAGTACATATTTGTTCATTTGCAAATTATGCAAACATTTTCCTCTATATCACGATACATAGCGTGCATCTCAGAAGTCTTGTTCCAGTGGGAATGATGAGGTTCAGAGGAGGGTAAGTGTGAGTAGAAGCCCTGGATTCTCACACCTTCTCCCTCTGGGAGGTGAATACTTTGTCTGGGGGACCACAAGATCACATAATCCAGAAGAGCTCCTCCTCATGGACCTCTACACGTGTGCTGTCCATTGTGGTAGTCACTGACACTTGTGTCTATTTAAATTAATTAAAATGACAAAATTTAAAGCCTGATTTCTCAGACACACTGACTACATGTTAAATGCTCAACAGCCACAGGATTTAGTGGCCATGACACTGGTCAATGCAGATTACAGAACATCTTCATGGGGGGTCTGTTCAGCAAGAAGGGAGGCCACCAGTTCAGGGCTTCCTCATAGCAGCTGACCTTCCCAAAGTCTGACTCAGCGATGTGGGAGCTTCATGAAGCACTATATGGCTTAGTCCCTCCTGTGTCCTGGGTGGGGATGAGGGCTGCGGGTAGCAGGGTTGCTCCAAGCTGACCAGCGAGAGTCCAGCTGAGTTTTCCCAGGGTTGTCCCTGACTTGTGGGGCACATGCTCTCCAGACTGGTTCCTGCACGTGTGCTTCTCTGTCCTGCAGGTACGAAGGGAATTTCTGGCAGAGCCGTGCTCCCTCGAGAACCAGCAGACTGCGTAAGCCCCCATGGGTGCCAAGAAGAAGTTGTCCCCGTCTCCGACTGGAGGGGCCAGAGCCACATGGGATCCTCAATAACTCAGGTAAAGCTCCCCTTGGAAGTGAACCCAGATTGGACAGATGGCTGGAATGTAGGGTGCATGGCAGCTAGCCCAGCTCTAGCAGGGACAGTGTCAAAGTGGATGTCTGTGAGATAATGAGAGGGACCGTGAGGAGACAGAGCCTCCCACACTGAGCAGTCCATGCACATCCTGGAGTCAGGTCCTTACTGAGCAGAGTCCCTCCAGAGCCTGGGACAACAGGAACCAGACATCTGAGTGGTTCTGTGAGAGCCACTGCTGAGATGATCGCCTGGGAGGCAGGGAGAGCTGCCCTCCCCACGCCCAGAAGGAAAGTACGGGAGCTCTGGAGGCTGCTTCCTGGAAGGGGCTTTTCTAAGCTGCAAAGGCTGAGAACCAGGGCAAGTCACTTACCTTCTCTGGACCCCTGTGTCCCCTCCCTTTCCCCTCTTCCCAGCAGTAATGAGCCCAGCCTGGGCCTTGCTTGCCGAGGGTTAACTGAGAAGATGAAGACCATTTGTGAGAGGCTGCAGGCCCCATCTGGCCAGCGGTGACTGCATTACCATCCTTCTGTGACTGATGTTTACCTCTTTGGTTCAAAGCCTGCCCCGGGACCATGTCTGAAGACTGAGGTTTTTGGTCTTGGGGACGTGTGTGGAGCACCTTCTCTTCCACTTTTGGGCAGCTCCAATGGCCCCTGCAGGCAGAGGGCACTTGCTCCCCTTCCTTCCTCCATTCGTCAGCCCCCCAAACCCTCTGTGGTGGTGGAGGATGAAGACCAATGTTTTGTTACCCAGAATTTAAATCAAGGCAGGTGTTTGCTCTAGTAGTTGGATGGAGAGTTGTAAAGGCAAAAGATATGTTTTAAGGAATGTGAAGGTCCTTATTCCCATGGGGAATAGGGTGAGGGGAGGTGGAAGTGCACTCAAGGTGCCCAGCGCTGCTCTTTCTCGCCCTCATCTGCATCGTGTTGCTCCTTATTCCATGGCGCTCACACTGGGCTCTGCCTGGTGACCCCTACCCCAACCAAGGAAATGCCTCAAGGCCAAATGCTGCTCTGCACACCAGCCCCAGACTGCAGGCTCCCACACCAAGCGCCAAAGAACACAGTGCAACTCTTTGCTTTGTCACGGGGCCTTCCTGTGACTGTGGCAGGTGACATCAGTGTCACCTCTGTGCTTTCTAGACACTATGCGTGCCCACTTCCCTCTCTCTCAGAGCCTTTTCCACCTGTACCTACCACTGGGCATCCAGGTGCAGCCTGGCACTCTGAATGGTAGGTCACAGCTCAGAGCCCCTGGAAGGTGAGGAGTTGGGTGGGACTTCTGGGGCATGGGTGCCCCATGTGTGAGGGGAGCCCCATGGGTATCATGGTCCCGTGGCGAGCTCCTTGATTTTTGTCTCCATGGACCCTGCCTTCACCTCTCTTCCATCAAGTCCAGTTCTTGAATCTTCTGTTAGGCGGGTGTGGAACTATAGTGACAGCTGTGACAGGTCACCTGCTGAGGCACTGGCAGGGTGGCAGGCACAGCTCTGTAGGTCAGGGAGGTTTCCAGTGGGTCCCAGTGTGGATCTCATTGGACCATCTGGCACTCTGCCAGTTGACCCAAATGATGGAAGTCCCCCACCAACTAGCTCCCTTCCCAGCACCTTAAAGACAGCTTCATCCAGGAAACTCCTGCGGCCTCTGTTTCCATTTTTGGGCTCTTCACTGTGCCCCTGAAGGGGAAGGGAAGAAGATAATCCCTGCTCTGATGAATGGGATGGTGGGTGAAGCCAGGAGAACCAACTGACTCTCCTTTGCTCCCATCTTACTGGGAATGACATTGTGGCCAGTCAGCTTCCATGTGGGGTCTCTGACGGTATGGCATTGTCCCCTGTCCAGTGCCTCAGCCATACAATCAGAGACCAATGCCTCCTGTGACTCACTGAGAGGTCAGGGGAGCTGTGTAACTTATGCTGAGTGCAGTGCCCAGTGTGACGCTTGATAATAAGGGTCTTTGCTATTCATTGGAGGACCAGGCCACTTGTGGGCGTGTTGGGGGAGAGACACGCAGGGGAAGTTCTCTTTGGGGACAGGGGGCTTCTTCTGGAAAGCTGGGTGTGGGAGAACAAGGCAGGGGCTTTCTAGACGGGGATGGGACAAACGCAGGCTCATGGCCAGAGGGGAGGATTCTAGGGAGGACTCTGGGGAGGGAAGGGGGAGTGTGAGGCCCTGTGCAATGGGCAGCAGCTACTGGGCATTTCTACTGGGGTTCTTAGGTTGCTGTAAGAAATCACCATACACCTGGTGGCTTGAAGCAACTAAACCTTATTCTCTTTCAGTCTGGAGTCCAGGAGCCTCCCAGACCCTCCAGGGGTTCTGAGGAGGACACTCCCTTCCTCTCCAAGTTGGCTCTGGGCGTTCCTTGTTTTGTGGTCACATCATTCCAGTCTTGGCTTCATTTCCACATGGCTTCCTCCCTGTGTCACCATGGGTCAGACCTCCCTCTGACTTTTTCTGTGTCATTGGATTTAGGCTGCACACTAAATCCCACTTGGTCTCATCTTGAGAACCTTGAACTGATTCCTTCTGCAAAGTCAATCAACCAACCATAAAAGTGACCTTTTGCCTAGTAAGGCCACTTCTGGAGGAGCTTTGGGTTAGGACTTGGGGGGCACTATTCAAACTGCTTTATGATTTCTCCCCATCAAAACTAGTGGAAATGATCTGAAAGTGTGTTTCTAAACGAACGACACGGACACGGCGTGTACAAGAGTGTGCATCATCTGGGCTCTCAATGTTTGTCGGCTGTTTTTGCAGAACCTTAATTATAAACCTAAACCATAAAAACAGACATGTTCTTGCCCCCTGCAGGACGTGTTCCACACTCTGGGGAGCGGTAGTCTAGGTAGCTTCTCTCCTGATGGCTGTGGGACCCATCAGTTCCCTTTAGGGAGAAGACCTGTGGCTGGCTACCCGGGCATGGCAGGGCCTTTGGTGTGGCTATGCACACAGCTTTACCCCCTGGCCACAGCCATAGGACGGGGCTGGGCCAAAGCAAGTGGTGCCTGCTCTGACTGCTTCTCCTCGGTGGTAGATCCTACACGGCTTCCGTTGCAGGCGCTGCCTCTTCCTATCAGGTGCACACACCTGGCTCGCTTGGGGTGACCTAGAAACCCTGAGACACGCAGATAGACTTTCACTGTCCTTTCCTCCCTTCTTCCCCTTAAAAGCCTCAGGGCAGAGTCCTGTGCCCACCTAGCAGGGCCTGTGGAAGAGCCCCAGAGGTCCTGAGGCTCCCTCCCTTTGGGGGAACTAGTTTCTATACATTTCCTGTCTTGATACCAGCACTTCATGGCTTTGTCACACCATGATCCCAAGAGCAAGGTGGGGTCCTAGTGAGGAATGTGTCCATACCTCAACAGAAATAAAACCTGAATATAGAGATAGGAAAGCAGGGGCCAACCGTCGTCAACTCCTGTTGGGAGCATAGGTCCCCCTGCCCACGCAGGTGACAATGCCCAGGAAACAGCCTTCAGTGGTGACAAATGTCTGTGCTTTCATTTTTATTATTTGAGCAGCAGGTTGAGCTAGAAGCCTGTGTCCCTGGTGCCCCTTTTCAAAGGCCTCCCACTCCAGCAATTATAAAGGACAGGGAGAATGGGCATTGAGGGGCAGGAGGAGCCTGCAGATGTGTTGGAAGCCATGGCCCGGGGAGTATTAATCACCTCCCATTCCTTATTGAAGTGTCAGAGGGGGACTAGGGAAGGCTGATCGTGCCGCCTGCAAGCTGGGGTCCACAGCTCGTGATGGACATGGAGTCCGAGGTAAAAAGAAAGAGTGCATCAAAATAAATGCCGCCTGGAAACCAAAGGGGCCAGAGGAGTTTATTACCACCACCTGCCAATATCAATATTTCACAGCAGAGTGACAGGCACTCCGAAGGCTCTGGGTGTTTGAAGACAAAGTGTTGTGACTTCAAAGGAACCTAAAGCTGGGCCTTGGTTGCCCCCATTTACAGACAACTTGCTTGGAGCTTCTTTGACCTGGCAGGTCCTGGAGGGGAGATCAGAGCCGACCCCCGGCTGGAGAGTCCCTTCACTCTGTGTGTGTGTGTTTGGGGGTGAGGGAGGATGACCGCTTTCCCACTGCAGGACAGGGAGGCGTGATCTGGCCTAGGTGACCCGTGATGCTGTAACTTGGGAAGCTTGATGGAGTTCAACAAAGATATTGACAATGACCTTTGGGGAAGGGGATTGGCCAATTAAAAGGTAGGAAAAACATCAATCTCAGCCCGGATACACCAACAAGATGAGGAAGACATTTACAAACAGTGCTCAGGAACATCTGTGTCCAGGGGCTGCAATATGTCCTAACCAATTTTTTTTTCTGGTCTTCTTTATGTTTTGGAGACTCTTCCTGTCAATAACTTAGGAAGATGAGAGAGAGGATGTTTTTTAAAAAAATGTTTTTTTTCAAAAGATGTTTAATTTCTCTCTTCTCCAAACTATTCCAATAGCTTGGTGCTAATCATTGGAATTAACAGATGGCTCGGTGGTGAAGTCATCTGCAAGCAGAAGGCCAGAGGAGTTATGAAGGATAAAGACCTAATTTATGAGATTTTACATTAATTAGAGCCCATGAGACACTCCTGAGAACGTGTTTTCTTTCTTAAACCTAAACCGAGTAGACCATCCTGGCCAAGTCTCCAACAAGGGATCCGACGGGGCTGACTAGAACTTTCTGTTCAGTTACTAAGCACTGTGGGCTCACCAGGCACCCCAGCTAAATGTGGAATGTGCAGGCATATCATTGATTTTTTCATATCACGGTTTCAAAGAACGCTGTTCATTGGCCACATTCACTGGAGTGTCAGGCTGTGTGTGCACTGGGTTGGGGGCCACTCACTGAAGGGACTGGCTCTTGTATATGAAGCCACTGAATGTCCCAAGGAAAGCAAGCATCTGCCTTAGACTCTAAATTGTCTGTATGGGATACCCCAGTCGGGAGGTGTGCCAGCTAAACCACAGCATAGGAGACC